AGTGGCTCCCACTCTAGGTCCCTGTAAATTTGACTATTACGTACAAACCAGGGAGCATCTATGGCCATCCGCAGAAGTTTATTTTCTGTGGCCTGAAGCTGTCTCAGGTAGGTTTCTGCCGCATACCCCCACACTATGGAGGCATACGTCATTGCCGGCCTGATGACACTCTTGATGAGCAGGAGTTTGTTCCTCACACTCATTTGACTTCTTCTGTGCAGTAGTGGGTACAACATTGCTGTTGTAGCATCTAGTAGTTGTTCTGAAAATGGCATTAATGAGATTTGTGACAGCTACCAGTCCTTTTCTCGGCAGGTTCTTGAGCATTTTATTTGTAATTCCATCTCTCCCAGGGGCTTTCCTCGTCTTCGAGTGCCTGATGATGGCTGCCACTTCTCCTGGTGAGGTTGGAGGGATACAGCTGTCCGCTATTTTTGCTCGGAGGTCCCGAACGGTCCTTCTGACGATTCTCTTGTGCCCGTCTTCTTCGTCTGGATGGTTGTTTTCCCTGGCCTCGCTCTCGATGGTATCTGAAAAAACTTCAGCTTTATCCTTGTTAGTATATACCAGACCTTGCAATCCGTGTAAGGCTGGTATTTTGGTGTCTTCTTTTCTGAGGGCCTTTTGAATTCTCCAGATGCTTTGGTCGTCTGGACCAATCTCCCTGATGCGTCCCTCCCATCTCTCTCTGGTTTCGGTGGTCCGTAAGAGCCTCCTTCGGCAATGAATGAAAAATGAAATGAAATTTTCGGGGTGAAATGAAAAAATATAAAGGTCAAGTTGGGAGCCCATAAGGACTGGTGTAGTGTGGATTAAATACGCACTATGCGCATGCACCTCGCATTTGCGTTTGCAGTTTGTGGGAATCCGGGGATAAATTTTTATTAGTAACTTCTTCTTCGACTGATTTTTCGAAAAGGGATATATAAGAGTATATTACATAATAAAAGTTGTAAGGAACAATTTACGTACGAATAGAAAAGTTGAAAAAAAAAGTCCATGAGGTCGTATAACTATAATTGCGTTACGACTGCATTAACTTAACTACTAGTTCTAACAACGATTTTTGAAAAAATTTAAAGACTTCTTCGCATGTGTTAAAAATTGAAGCGCTATACCTTTATAGACAAATATTGTCTATTTGGTGCATTTTCCAGAACAGTTTTAATGTTATCAAAAGAAATAGACTTTCGAGGCCATTCCTTGAAATTAATGGGTTTTAATGTTATTTGTAGACAAAATCTTGGAGTTTGACGCTTTTAATACCATCAGACTTTTTTTTTCAGTAGGTTTCTAGTAATTTGGTACAAGTTTTCGTGTTTATATTGTGATTAATGTTGTTGTTCGAAACGCAGAATTAAACTATCACATCGGAGAAGGTTTTTCATGTTACATGCTAATTATTATTAAGTACCTAAGTACTAATTAAAGTAAGTTAGCAATACATTCTCCAAAAAAAGAACTTCAAATGAGCAACTTCTTATTTTTGACGCAGTAGTTCGTACTGGTTTTCTGCTATTTGTATAATATTTCGGGGTGTTAAGGTTTCGTTTAACATTTTATAATAGAGGCATTTAGCAACAGTTGATGTTCAATTTACTAATTTAACAATATGATTTGACGAATAATTAGATGCCGGTTAGACAGAAATTAACCGTAACAGAACTGTGCGTTTGATTTATAATGCGTAAAATGTAACTTACTTAGATTATAGGCAGCGTGTCTTGTCCTACTGACTACTGTAAGTAGTGGTGGTAGGTAAAATATATTAAAAAATTGCTTCCCTTCTTTAAAATTTTACCGCACGCCACTCGATATAAACAATATGAAAGAATACAACACTGGGAACGAGAACAACGATGGAGGATAAAATTATGCATTTGAGCAGCTTTAATAATAATTTAGTCATCGCGTTTTTATTTTTATGAAAAATCTATTCTACTAATACGTCATAAATTCCAAGTCCGTTCATAATTTTTTTTTTTTTGACCCGTTGATAATTCAGGAAAAATTAAAATAACACTTTCTATTCGGAATTCATATAGGGGGTTTTTTGGATACGTCGGTGGGCATCCGGTATACAAATAGGGCGGCATAAAGCATATCACTACAATATTTTATTTTTTATATTTTGTATTAAATATCCCTTCTGCCAGTCTTCAGTAAAACACTAAAATAAGATCTTATTCTTAAGTCTAACTCTCTTTATATCAGTTAAAGCCTATTTAACTTTTCAATCCTTCTCTCCCGCCTTTAAATTGAATTGATTCTCTTCTCTTTGATATCAGCAAAATTGAATTTGTTGTCTCTTTCGTCGGCCGACGAAATAATACTTTGCGATAAAACTTATTGTTTACATCTCTCTTCGACATGAATATCCGGCCATATAACTTCTCCGTCTCCGGAAATTTGAAAACTTCGATTTTTTGCTTAATCGATTCATTCAATTTTCCCATTACTAGCCCAGCTGTGTCACTGGTGAAAGATGGAATGGAATTTGCGAGTTCAACTACCGATGGGGGCGCTGCGAAACGTAAACATTACTCGTCTTTATATATGAACATTACTGGCCATTGTTAACTGCAAAAATCACGAATACATTGGTAGCACCCTTCCTGACATGCCATGTCTACCTTTGTTTGTCGGTCTCATCACATAAAACAATACTTACACACTTTTCAATATGTTTCTATTTGTTTAAAGGCTCGCACAAGCTGAGTAGAACTAAACCAAACAAATCACAACGACATCTAATCAAAATAAGTGTCAAATTTTACTAGTTAAAGTGTAATTACAATTTAGCTGCCAGTGAGCTTTTCGCGAATAATTTGAATCCAGAAGGAGTTCAATATAAATAAAGCCATAATTACGGTAAAAGGTTGCATACAGGCTCTCAGAATAACACGTAAAACTATCCATGTTCTAAAACTCCCCCTATTAACTTCCAACGCGAAGTTAGCTTTGAATAACACCTGTAATCTGTACTACGCAGGGACAAAAGTATTGCACCTGCGCATGGACCACTTGCGGAACTGTTATTGGCTTGATTGGCTGGACGGCCGGTCAGTTTAGTGGTGAACGACTTTAGATCGGTAGTGTGTTGTCAAAATTCGGATAGTTTTCTAGTATTTCTGTTTGAAGAAGTACTTTTAGATGTTCTGTCGCGTTTCGGTAGTAAAGTTATCACCTATATCCGCGTTGTGAAAGGTAAGGGTGCTCAATTAATTCCTAACTTAACTGCAAAACTCTACATTAACGCAAACAAAACGATACCGCTTCACACGACCTTGACGAATGATGTGTTGATTTTTCACATTTGGAACACAGTTCCCAGTTATTATCAGTTTTATTGCCCAGTTTTCAAAGCAGGGAAATTTCTCTTTCGCTAATGTTTATGTACGAGACATTTCCTATGTGGAGACCTATCGTTTTTAGAGAAATCTTCCAAAAGCCCCTCCCCCGAATACTCCAGTAATTCATACCTTCAAAGACCAGACGTGATTACATACAGTGTGATATTGTATCCGTAATTACTTCTTTCGTTTAGGTACCAAGTTAATTGAGTGTGAACTTGAGGTAGGGCGTAATTATTGCGTTATTCTGCTATAAGTATAGGTACGTTGAGGTTTACACTTACATACGCATCAGGTAGATAGTTTGAATGATACCCAATAAGGACACGAAGTACGTTAGAACAGTCCTTATATTATCAAAACCTTTGCTTTTTTAAGTCCATTTAATACAAGTCTCAAGTGTCAAGTCCTTTTAAAGCATGTGTTTTAAAGCTTGAATCATTTCAAGGCTTCAAACTAAATGCAATCCAGCAAATTAAAAACACTTGGTGCAGCTAATAATATATAACACGTTAAATTATCTCATTAAGAACACTTTTGTCACAAAAGAATCGAAAACAAATTGCAATTTAAAATAGTACATTTTTTCGGTAAAAGTAAGAGTAACTTTATATAATAATAATACAATAATATAAAACACGTTCAATTATCTCATAACGAATACCTTTGTCACAAAATAATCGAAAACAAATTGCAATTTAAAATATGTAGTACATTTTTTTTGGTAAAAGTAAGAGTAACTTCATATAATAATAATACAAGAGCATTCGGTAAGAGATGATCCGATAGGAAGTTTTTCCGGTTTCATACTGGGTGCCGCCTCACAGATGTCGTTTTATTTAGGAATACTTAATTCGTAAAAAACAACAACAATACCATTGTTTTCGGCTTTATCTTAAAAATAACATTCCATCAAATAAATTGTTTATGTCCTTTTTTATTTTATCGTATTTACTAAGTTTTTGGCCACAAAAGTGAAACCAATATTCGAATTGTGTTCTTACTTGAAATAGTTGCTATTTATTTCCTAAGTTCGATTGTTTATTACGACGTTTGTCATTTTACCGTTTTGTAAAATTGTGATTTTACTCTGTTAAAGAGTTGGATATGTTCGGATTATCGTTATTTTCAGATACCTACTTGTAAAAGCCTCTAAAAATTGGTAACGATGCAGATTTCGATGTTTAGGCGCATGTTTACCTTGAAACTTTTTTTTCGTTAGTATATTTTTTAAAGAACTATAGTCTATACTTAGTCTAAGATACAACAAAATACCTTTATGTTGCAATAAAACTTTAATTTTTGTATTAGAGATGACAAATATTTAAACTAATTATCAGAAGCCCTATTTATTACCACCTAAAATAGTTGAAACGACCACAGTGCGCCTGGTCCCTCATCAAATTAAATTATCCACCTGAGGCCAAAGTGTAAGTGGAAAATTAATTAGGAAGCAATGTCTGCTCAAAATGAATTTACCGTCGAAACAATTTACAGTTTTAGGATTTTTAAAATGCAAATGAAATATCTGTTGTCTGTCTCTGTGAAGATCACTGCAACTTCTACATTTGGAGAAAAAACAAATATTCACTTTCATTCATTCCACCCACGGCTTCCAGACTTACGGCATAATTTTCGTTTTCAAAATGCCATATTCATTCAAACATTTAAAACTTCAATTTTATTTAGATTATTTCCTATTTAAGTCTCATGGTACTTATGTAGTAGTTGCTTAAAAAAAGCTCGACATAAGTCGAACCAAAAAATTCTAGTAACAATACGCATGGTATCAAGAAGAAAAATCCATACTGATCCTGTATCTATGAAAATCGCATTGTAAGGATTATCTATTGCATTTTTATTGGAAAATATACAAGCTGATTCAAATTAGGTGTCGGAGACAATCGGAAAACTCAGATTATTTAAAATACTAAAATTTTAGATTTTGTAAGTAAAATGCATATGGTGAATCCAACTCTGTGTCATTTATCTAGAGTTGTTATCAAGAGGGGGGGGGCATTTATGGGGTATACATAGAGAAAGCAATTATCGCTAATTACACTGAGGTTCGCCAAAAAGTCAATCTCTATCAACAATATATTTGATCTCGCCTACCAAGCACGTTTTTTCTATTTCGTACACATTATGAGTAAGTCAACAAAAGCGAAGAAAAACTTAATGTTTCAAAATGTAGTTTCTCAATTGGTTAATCATTACATGAGTTATCACGGAAGTACTTAGCTTAGTTTACAAGAGCCTATAGATCTCATATCACAGCTTGATGCCAAAGAACAGTTTTCTAGTGAAAAAAGCTGATAAAACTGTACAATTCTCCAAACTGGTTAGTTTGATGTGACATTCGTTCAAATTTCGATAGCACTGAAAAAAATATATTCAAAATGTTTCCATAGCTTTCCATCCATAATACTGCTTGTTTTTATACATCTATCAATCTGAATGTGTGTTAATTGCTGCTTTTGACTGTTGTTTTCCATATGAGGTCTGCGGGGCTCTTATGTATAACATTACGCCTAGAGTATTACAAGGAAAGTAAACGGGGTCCCAAATATTTCGTGCGAAGCAAATGTCAAAATATGTATTAGCTTTATAATGCCGATATATATAACGTCATCGAAGAAAAGAAGGTCGACAGAACTCCATTGAGAAGTAAACTACTAGCGTTTAAGAAAATTGATACTGAATTCTATATAAATTCACCCTGTTTCTCCTGTAAGGCCGGAGTCAAACGATTTTACGAAAACCCTAAAAAAGACGTAAGGCGTCTAAAGAGAACATAAAAATTATTAAACATTAAATTATGTTAAAATTTTATAACGTGAATAAAATAAATTATTAACTTCTGGATGTATCGGACGATGCATTCACTGGTTTTGTTAGCCGAAGTATTCTATAAAAAACCATTTCTCAAATGCCTCATAATAATTGAACCGATTGAATTATTTTCTTGGAAAAAACATACATTATCTCTAAGATATCAATATTATTTCATCTTCCAACTCCATTTGATAAGTTAATACTATTACACACACGAGATGAAAACCAAATTTACAGGTGATGTGGTAGGTATAAATAGCTTAATCTTCGCTTAAGAACTTTAATCTGCGAAAAATGACGGCTTGAAGTTAAACATCATTACAGTGAAAACCATCGACGGTGCATACCGATTAGGACTTTAAATCCGGCTTAACTCTTAATCCCCATTTAAGTCCGCCGGTGCATACATTAATGATTGTTAGTGCTTGCCTCTATCCCATTCGAAATGGTATTAATCGTTACATATGAGTCCTACCTTCAGTTGCGGCCACTTTCACTCGCGCAAAACAATAACTTTGCTTACATTTGTTTATTACAAGCGGAGCGCGCGTGCTAAATTTTGTCAAAGATTTCGTGAAAGATCGATTTGGAGTCTCCCCAAGAAAAGAAATATTTTCTAAAAATGTTCTCGTATAAATATAACTGGTGAAATCATCAAATTTAATCAAAGCAATTGTGCAGTACTAATAACATAATCAATTCATGTAAAATAAAAACCGTTAATTCACATAGAAAGCAACAGCCACTTTACTAAACTCGAGTCGACATAAAATCTGCTAGAACTTTTCTTTTTGTTTTTTAATGTTTGGATTTTTTGCAAATTGGGGCACTTACACATTCTTTCCACATTTTTTTATTATTAATTATTATTTTATTTCCACGTTCTCTGTTTTCATCCATATGAATACCCTAATGCTGATAGGTTGTAACCCAATTTAATATTTTTTTACAGGCGACAAAAAACCGCGTCTGTAATGTTTTTTCGTTTATCTGTTGCTTATTTTTGTATTTTTATTATTTCTTATTTGTTAGAAGCATATAGTAATGTAAGGTTTGCCACAAAACTATAATTAAAAATGTTTTTGGGAGTTAGTATCTATCATTACCTACAGTTTATCAAGTTCGTTTTCACTAAAGTTTGTTCAAACTAAAATTACTATTTTTGACCTAGTTTAATGAAACACTACAATTTTCACTAAAATAATTTTTTTCGAATTATTTTGGGGTGCTCTAAATCAAGTTCAAAATTATAAATAGGTAATATTTATCATATAAAATGACTAGAATAAGGGCGACAAAATTAGAACAACAAATTGCAGGCAATAAAGTTTTGTTATTAATTACTTTTGGTCGCCGACGCGGAATTGAAGCAATCGATTTTTGAACGAAATTCTGTGAAAAATTGGTCCAAATTTCACTAATTTTATTCATCAAAGCTTGTTTATTTGGAAGCAGTTGCGTTCGAATGCGACGTTCCACTTCCTCCCAAAGATCCAAGGGTTTAGATCTGGGGATTGTGCAGGCCACTCCAAAACTCGAACATTATTGTCTACAAACCACTGTTGAACAATTTGTTGAATTGAAGACGTTTGAAAGAAGAAGTTTTGTATTATAGCGCTGTTGGAAAATAAAACGCAGTGGCATTTCCAGTATTTAGCATCTTCCTTCAATTAATGTATTTTCAACACCTTGCTACAGATCAAGTACCTTTTTAAATTCAAATTCTTATTAGCATGACTAATTTACCATAGGCTAAGTTCAAAAAACTATAAAACACACAATTAATCGTAAGAATCTTTTCGCTAGCCCTTCGTGAAAGATGTCTTACTAACTACGTTTTGTTAGAAATTCCTAGCCAACAAAGACATAGAAATAAAAATATGAACACGTGAAAGTCGGAATTTTATCTCGGAAACAGTCGACCAGTGGAATAGACCCTTTCGATACATGTTTCTCACCTTCAAAGGGATTATTTTATTATTTCCGAAACTTGAACTGCGTAGAACCAATATAAAAATTAAAGTGTCGCGAT